TGTGTAATTGGTGAAAGTGGAGGCAAAGCTACCTTACCATTATGGTAACATAGAAAATGTGTTTCATCTAGAAATTTCTTAGCACCACAGTGCTGACAAGTTTGATTCATTTCTCCTAAATAATTATAATCTGGAATAGCATTACTTCTCGCTATAGAATATATTCGTCCTTGTCCAACAGCTCTTCTTTCATTTTGGCGACGATTAACATTATCTCAATCTAGCCTATTTTTTTCATTTTGTAAACGATTAATGTCATCTCGCGTAAGTCTATTTCTTTCATTTCGTCTACAATTATTTTCAACACGCCTTATAGCACTTACATCATTTTGTAAATACATAACTTCATCTAGCCTATCATTCATTTCAATGTCATCATTTTGATTAAACATGTTTATCAAAGCAACACTAATTATTTCTTTTATTTTACTAACCTAAAGTTAACAATAAAATAAATTAAATATAAAATAAATATCATACTCGAAAAAAAAAAATAAAAAAAAAATCTCAAAACAAATATATATAAAGAAACCAAACAAATGCAAAATAAAACTAATTTGCCATCATCAAAAGTAATACAGGTTTTTTAAGTTTATTTGATAGAGGTTAAGAAAAACCTGCCTGAAAAATCTGACGCTGTCGCAATTTTTTTTTTTTTGATATATATATTTTTTATTTTATATATATTTTTTTGATGTAACCACATCAGCAAAAACTTATTAAAAAAAGTTAAAATTTATTTTATTTCTAATAAAAAAAAAAAAAAAAAAAAAATTGCGACAGCGTCAGAGTTCATGCGTTGGGAGAAAACATTGAACAAAACACGTAATAAAACTTATTAATGCATTATGTACAATAGAAAACAGGTTATTAACGCGGGTTTATACATTTTTTTCTCCTAACACACTATTATGCTGCCGCAACTCCAAGGATATATATAGTTATATATATAGTTTTTTATGAAAACCAAAATTTTTTATATAACATATATAGTAAATATTTGATAAATAAACCTCTACAATTTCTTTGGTTCAACAACTCGACTATGATTAATAACAACTCTGTAAACATGAATTTTCTAATAATATA